TTTTGAACATGTAATTTTCTTTTGCAGATTGGAGCAATAATTTCAGGCATCCAGCCTGGGTTGACAATGGTTGTTGGTCCACCTGGTACTGGAAAAACAGATACTGCAGTGCAAATTCTGAATGTTCTTTATCACAACTGTCCTTCACAGAGAACATTAATTATCACTCACTCTAATCAGGCTTTAAATGATCTTTTTGAGAAGATAATGCAGGTATATGATTCATATTTAGTGAAAACATTTGGCTCCTGTGGATATCATCATGTTTGCACTAGCTTTTTTTGAAATGTAAAATTACTGAAAATTTCTGCCAGAAGGTGGTTGGTATGTTAATTGTCTTGACTAATAGAAGGTTGGAATATCTTGATGCCTTTATATCTTGCGCCAAGGGAAGAGGTCGGGGGCAAAAATTGAGATATGGGACAACGTAAGGAGGGAAAAAGGTTTGCACCATACTTGATAGTGCTATGGCACATGGCACCTGCTTCTTCTATGAGAGGAGCACATGTCACATCCTACTTCTATTGCTGGCCTCCTCTCAGCCCACTGTCCTCCCATGAGTTCATATGAGGGACAACCCTTTTTTCGTAGCAATGTACTGAATGAACTATGATTGTCTGGAAAACAAGTTTCTTCAAAATTGACAAACAGTTCCTAATACTGACCGAACCTTTGTGCAACCAATTGGCCATCACTCCACTCGAGACCTTATTCACCTGAGGCATCTGTGGTCATCCCTTGATAGATCAATATGGCTCTTTTTGTTGATTTAGTTCTTCCAAAGTTGAGTCCAGTTTCAGTGATTGCTTCATCTACCCAATCATTGTCCTACTTACAGCTATCACCAAAAGATGCCGGCAAGGCAGCTTGCCAGCGTTACATGGTTAATATCTTTGAAACAGCAGTCAACTTGTCGTTTGAGTTCTAGAGTTGTATGGAGGTGTTAAGGTTTTATTTAAATGCTTGTGAATGTTCTATAGTTTGAAATTTTTATCAGTATCTCACACATCTGAAATAATGGAGAAAATATCAGGCTTTCGTGAGTCATTTTTATCAAAAAAAAAAAAATATTAAATTTATCAACTTCTATAAAAATGTATGTTCCGTATGGTATACATGAGGCAGCCCTGTCATGATCTAAGACACCCATTTATTGTTCATGTATGTGATCTCTGTTAACTGCTAATGTTTGATAAAATTTCAGGTGCCTAAAATATTGATTTGTGAGCATAGTAGCATGCCTTTTCATAGTTTTTTTAGTATATGAGATATTAATGATTTGTCATGCATCAATTTGTTTTGTTGCTGAGTCAACTAACCATGGTAACTTGAGGCACATTCTCCTCATATTTTCCTTGTGGACTCTTCTGTTTCATCTTCAACCATGGCAGTCTGTGTAATTGTTTCTTCATTTACTGGTTAGAGATTTCTTAAGAACTACTCATTTTTCTTGGTAATCTTTTTGCTTTTGTGCTTCATTTCATTGTTTGTTCTTTTGCAGTGTCATTGTTTAATGTCCTATTTTGAGTTTAATGTGGGAGGCACAATTGTTCTCCAGTACCTAATTATGACTTTCACATTGTGTCTTTTTCCAAGGAGCTTATATAGTGTCTATTATCACAAAGAGATTTGGATGTAGCTTACATAGTGTCTATTATCACTTTTTTCCCCTCATTTGTCTTTGATGTGTTCTATTATCATGAAAGAGATTTGGATCTAACTTTAGTGTTACTGTCATCAGAGAGATGTACCTGCCAGATACCTTCTTCGTCTGGGTCAAGGTGAACAAGAGTTGGCAACTGATCTTGATTTTAGTCGCCAAGGTCGTGTCAATGCTATGCTTGTGCGACGATTAGAGCTTCTTGGTGAAGTGGAGAGACTTGCAAGATCTCTTCAGCTCCCTGAAGATGTAGGGTACACTTGCGAAACTGCTGGATATTTTTGGTTGCTGCATGTTTACTCACGTTGGGAGCAGTTCTTAGCTGCTTGTGCTCAGAACAAAGATAAACCATCATTTATTAAGGATCGGTTTCCATTTATGGAATTCTTTTCAAATACTCCACAACCAGTTTTTACAGGTGAATCCTTTGAGAAAGACATGCGAGCTGCAAAAGGTTGCTTCTGCCATCTATCAACTATGTTCCAGGAGCTTGAAGAGTGCAGGGCTTTTGAGTTACTCAAGTCTACAGCTGATCGAGCAAATTATCTGATGACCAAGCAGGCCAAGGTTGTTGCTATGACCTGTACTCATGCAGCATTAAAGAGGAAGGATTTCCTTCAATTGGGCTTTAAGTATGACAACTTACTTATGGAAGAAAGTGCGCAGATATTAGAGATAGAGACCTTTATACCAATGTTGCTTCAAAGGCAGGAAGATGGTTATGCTCGGCTTAAGCGCTGCATATTGATTGGTGACCATCACCAGTTGCCTCCTGTTGTAAAAAACATGGCCTTTCAAAAGTACAGCCACATGGATCAAAGTTTGTTCATGAGATTTGTTCGCTTATGTGTTCCTTACATTGAGCTTAACGCTCAAGGTAGAGCTCGACCGAGTATAGCAAAACTTTACAACTGGAGATACAGAGATCTTGGTGATCTTCCCTATGTCCGTGAGGAGGTTATGTTTCAAAAAGCTAATGCTGGATTTGCTTATGAATATCAACTAATAGATGTTCCTGATTACCTTGGGAAAGGTGAAACTGCTCCTTCTCCATGGTTCTATCAGAACGAAGGGGAGGCCGAGTATATTGTTAGCGTTTATATTTACATGCGTCTGCTTGGATACCCAGCCAGCAAGATTTCTATATTGACCACATACAATGGCCAAAAGCTTCTGATTCGTGATGTTGTCAATAGGAGATGCATGACATCTGGAATCGGCCCACCTAGCAAGGCAAGTTCATCAGTTTGTCATCTTATTTAAGCATTCTTTTTTCTGCTCAATTTAGTGAGAATTTTCTTTTCTTATAATAGTCGGTTAATCATTATATATTGCATAACAGGTTACAACAGTTGATAAATTTCAAGGTCAGCAAAATGATTTCATTTTATTGTCTCTTGTCCGCACACGATTTGTCGGCCACCTTCGTGATGTTAGGAGATTAGTCGTTGCAATGTCACGAGCACGTCTAGGGCTGTATGTTTTTTGCCGGCGTGCTCTGTTTGAACAATGCTATGAGTTGCAGCCAACTTTTCAACTTTTACTTCAGAGGCCTGATAAGCTGGGCCTGAATCTTGAAGAGACCAGTCCTTTCACCGAGCGTCTCATGGGAGAAACAGGGAGGATCCAGTTTATTGGTGGTGTTGAGGAGATGGATGGCTTGGTTAACTTTAGGATTCATCAGCTCTATCAGGTATGCTTGTGACTCAACATCCTGCCATCGCTCAGTTTTATGCAAGTGGTGGTTTTCTATCTTCTCAAATTATTAGCCGAATACGTAACAACTTCCTTTGGTAACAGGCACAGCTCATCAGTCAATATGGTGCACACCAAGAGTCGGTGCCCAGTGCAAATGGGGCTCAGGATTCGACTTCCGAGAACCAGTCCGAGGATACAGATATGCCCACTGCAAACGGTGATGCTGACAATGAAACATTTGAGGGCATATCTGCAAACGGTGATGCTGACAATGAAACATTTGAGGATAATACGACAGGTGAAGATCAGATGGAGTGAATCATTGCATTCGGAGGCAGCTTGCAGGTCACACAACCTTTTGCATAGGCACTATGCTGACCATTTCGGCCCTGTTTCTTGTTGCATGACATGAAGGGTCAACTGGCATATTGAGTACCACAATCTGGTTGCAAACATTTGTGGCGGTTTTCCTGGAAATTTTTGGCCATTCAGAGTTTTGAATACAATACCTATCTGAAGAAAACATGTAGAATTATTCGACAGTGTCATGAGATGTAGCTTGTTAGAGAACTGGGTAATTGTACAGGAGCATGCCAACAACAAGAGGGTACTTTGTTCTTCAGCCTTGAATGTAAACTGTCTGAGACTAATTTATCGAGGTATCACTCTAATCCATTAGCGATAAGAGATCCATGTAATCGATCTTAAATAGTTGAGATGTATGATTTTATTGTTGTTTGTTGTTCTAAGCTAATCTTAATTACCTTAAATCAATTTGGTTCCACCATCCTTTCTATTTGTCTGTCATATGGTACATGACATTTCTCTTTGTGTCGCGGTGAGACATTTAAATACTTTCTGGTGCTTGAATTATCTAGAATTACTGCCACTTGTACCCACATATTATGTGCTCGATCTCAAGGTATTTAAACATGTTGCCAGATATTTATGATTGAATCTGCTGTATTGTTCTTACTAATGCAAACTAACTTTGGCTACTAAAAAGCACACAAAACCTAACTATGTTGCAGGAATGGAATCCCTGTAACATATAAACATTGCTTTGGTCATTTTCGATCCTTTCTTTCTCCCTATCTGAATAAAAGTTTTGGTAAATGTATTTTTATATATAAATAAAAATAAAAATTTGAACCGAATCACTGACATCGGTTCGGCTTTTGCTACGACTTAAATCGGTTCGGTTCGATAATTTTTCTGTTGGATTCCATTCTTTAACCCGCGTCTTCGGCTGCTTAGTGGCGTCGCAGGCCTCCGAGAGGGTACGACCGTGGGTGGCTCAAAGCAGGTCGTCGGTGGGAGATATTATAATTTGGGTTTAAGTATGGGGCCCACAATTCAAATTCCAAAATCAAGAAGAGCATTAGTCGGAGGCGACCACGCTCGAGTATCGTCACGGATGCGGTAACCTAACCGCCGAGCTAACACAAAAGATCTGTCATCGAAACAGCGGTCTGCGTACCCGATTTAGAGAGTGAATAAGCTCACTTTACTCCCCCCCTCCTCTTTCTTACTTTCTTTGTCGTGTTCAGTGGTTAGAGAGAGAAAAAGACAGCATGTGAGAGCTATAAAACACAGGACAAAGAGGCACACTTTTCTTCAATCCTACGCTTTCTACAGGTAGAGAGAGAGAGACGGAGAAAGGCGATGGAGAGGAGCGCTCCGACTAGGAAGCCGCTCGCCTCGACGACGGATCTGCTGACCTGGACGGAGGCGCCGCCCCAGGATCCAGCCGCGTCGGCCTCCCGCCGACCGCACCAGGTACTTCTCGCCTCCCTCGAGCAATGCGGTGGTCGACGGTCCTTTGCGTCTCTCTCACTTTTTGAATCTCTTATGGCGAGGGGTTGGCAGCCGACGGATGGGGTCAGCAAGGTGGTCTTCGGGGGGCAGATCACCGAGGAGGAGGCCGAGAGTATCCAGAAGAGGTGAGATCTGGCTGGGTGTGGGCTTATCTTATGGATCTCGAAGTCCTTCTTGTCGGAGAGAGTCTTATGGGTTTCAAAGGCTTTGCTGCTCTTTCAGTGGTTTCTTTCTTCTTGTTTATTTGTAACCTTCCGTCGATTTCTTGAACATTTCTATGCCCCTTTTATTAGATCCTAAATTCTGAGCCGCAAATTCTTTGAGTTGTTTGCGCAACGAGACATGATTTGAGGTGATTCAAGAGACGGCGAGATTCCATCACAATGCGCTTCAACTCTCCACCATAAAATCTCACTTAAGATGTTTGATGAATCAAGGATCAAGAAAGATTCTGTTCTATCAAGAATGCTTACCACGACAAAATCTTGCACGAGAACATTCAAATAGTTCTCCTATTTCATGTTCTACAAGACATTTTAGCGTCAGTGCTTTTTGATGTCCTGCATAATGTTGAATGACAGGCAGGGGCTTGTAGTTTAGGATACATTATGTAGCAGGACTGGAAGAAAAATATGGTACATGGATTGTTTTGATTTGAGTTAATTAAGCATAATTACTTTATTTATCATAAGATTTACTGTTAAAGAATGAAGATGTTGCATTGCTGACAGAAACAGGTCATGAAAGACTAATAATTGCTACATTTGCTATGAGATTTTGCAAAGAAGTAAAAACTTGTGACTTATGATTTTTCTTATTCCTTGGCACTTATATGATGAATGTTTTATGTGTTTCCTACATGATGATTCTAACATAAGAAACTAAACATAGTTGAAAAGGTTCATAATCACAAGCATATATATGCACATTACAGTATGTATATATACTGTACATGTGTGCACACATTTACATCTGTTATGTAATGAATGTAACCCATGAAAACCCCTAATGATGTCGGTTTTCTTCTCAGGAAACCTTGTTCGGGTCCAAAGTTAAAAGAAATGACTGGTAGTGGCATTTTCGCAACTGACAGCGAAGATGAACCGTCAGGACCAGGTAGTTCTTTCTCAACACCTAACGAGCGAACAGGTCTGCGGATGTATCAGGTATCTCATCCATTTTAACTAGCAAGGTTTTAGTCAGTTTGAGGCCAGAAACTTGTACATATCTTATTTCATGATCTTATGTCCAACTCTACATCTTAATTAAACATGGAAGTTCTAGTAAACTGAAAATAGATTCACAACTGAAGATGTATTTCTGGGCATTCACTGTGAACAATCTCTGAACGCTGATTTTTGACATCCCAGGTAATTTTTATTATGATAATTTTCATCTGTACTTCCATGATGAAGTCAGAATATGTTACCGGAACATTAGGAGTTCTCTGGTTGTGTCACTTATCAGCATCTGCTACAATCTACCCATCTATATTCTAATGAATTTTCTAGCGAGTGATGTTTCTAATCTGAAAATAGACTGTGATATAGTTCCTATCCCTTTTAAGCGCCTCATTTTTCATTGGAAGATTATTGAGTTATGGAATGTGGTTTACTGTGGGGCTAAGGATGTTTTTTTTTTGTCTCTAAATCAGCAAACAGTAAATGCAATGAGCCATATATCATTCAGCACTGATGAGACAGTTTCTTCACATAAAAAGCCAACCTCACTTGCTGAGGTAGCAAAGCAGCGAGAACTAACTGGGTCTCTGCTGAGTGAATCGGATGATAGATTGATGAAGCAGTTGTCTGATGCAAAATGCAAGGAACTAAGTGGACATGACATCTTTGCTGCCCCAGAAGTTTTGCCAAGGTCATCAGGATGGAATTTGGAGATGAATGACAGTGACCTGAGGGAAACCACTCCAAGAAACTTACAGTCACCGGTTAAAGTCCCTCAAGTGGGTATTTAAAATTCATCTTCTGTATTAACATTTGAACACCCATATATATATATATATATATATATATATATATATATATATATATATATATCTCCATTTTGTTCCATTGGGGCTATTAACTCAGTTGCCCTTTATGTTCAGAATCTGATTTGAGTACTATGCCACTACTTTATATTACTATTTAGACCTGTCTGTATATGGGATAAATCTAACTTTTTTCTCTCCAATTTAATTATGATACCCATGTTTTCTGGTGTATTTCTTGTGCTAAGATTGCATGATTGTTCATGTTCAGTGTTGATTCTATCAATCTCTTCTATTGCTAGCCTGAGGCATGGTCGATTCTTTTTTCCGACAGCTTATTATTATGAGATTCAATTGAAGTTTCAGTACTGTTTATTGACAACTTCTGCAGCTACTTTAGGCCTATTATTATTTAGTTTTTGTAGAACCCTTCATAATGCTTCATCCACAATTTATGCAGTTACTCTATGCCTAGTATTCTTTACCCTTTGTTAAGGCCTGCATGCAATTTGTTTTTTAACAGCTGACATTGTGATATATCTGGTCTATTGGTTGTTCTATTTGATAGGCTGGGGGTGCGAGCAATCTCTTGTTCGGTGAAGAACCAGAGGTGAAATCAACTAAGAAAATTCACACCCAGAAAGTGGCAGAACTGACAGGCAATGGCATCTTCAAAGATGATGCCACACCAGGTGCGGTGGAAAAAACACTTAGTACGGCAAAGCTAAAGGAGATGAGTGGTAGTGACATCTTTGCTGATGGCAAGGCTCCCTCACGAGAATATCTTGGCGGTATCCGCAAGCCTCCTGGTGGTGAAAGCAGCATTGCTCTAGTTTGACCTCTGTGACTCAGTTGTTTCGGACTTGTAGGGTTTGATGATTATAGTGTTGAAGTGTTTATCTGAACTCTGTTTTAAGTAGCACTCTATGGCAATGATAATAAACTATTGTTTGATGCTATTCCTAATGAGTTTCTCGAGTGTTGTAATTAACCTTTGAACTGTGCCTATAGTTTGTGGCATCTAATTTAACAACTGATTGGAATAATTTCTATTTTATGTGAATGACTGAGTTGGTGTCGCCATATACTCAACGTGTTTTTGATGGCTTTAACTATGTTTTTTATATGACAAATACAGTGATCAACGTGAAAGGATGTGGAAGCAGAAATGGGAATCTCCAAATATGGTTATCAAATTGTGAATTGTGGGGTGCATCACCAAACTATTCAACTCTATTTTACTGAAATGTCATAATTCACTTTGCCTGGAAAGTTTTAGTTACTGACAGCTGAAGATTGATCTGATTCAGCAGTCATCCTGCATGCTTTCTGATTACATCAAATGCATGGCATTTTGGCATTTTGTTCCTACAAACAAGAATTTAATGTAGTGACTGACGACTAACATCTCTAATAAAGAGGAGAATTGAATGTTAGGAGACTGGGGTAGGCAGGTCATGATGGTCTATGTTGGATACCGTATTTGACAACTCGACCTCCTTTTTAGATTTATGCCATGAAAAGTACGTAAATATCATTAAAGATGAATTTAAAAGACCATCCATCCTCCATTCCGGCGGGGGCCACTTTCTACCTCCATCTTGCATTCTCTCTCTCTCTCTCTCTATCATTTTCTTCTGAAGGGAGGATTGTAGTTTGGCAAACCATAAGACTCAAAAACACATATTAAGAGTTGTAACTGTTTTCAATCCTTTTTTATTATTATTTGTTTTTGCTTAGAAGGCATATTAACATATCGGCATACAAAGATAACCCCATAAGAGAATTAAAAAATACATAGTTCAACGGGGAACATTAAACGACTGAGAGAGTCTTAACAGACTGCAACGGATGCTATAACTTCGAGCAACATAATACATTATAATGTGTACGGGACCACACGCACAAAAAAACAAAACAAAAAGGAAAATGAAAAGTCATGTCGAAAGAAGAAACAAGAACTGGAACAACAGAGATGCTACAATCAACGATCAAGCGACTTGATAAATACTATCGATGGTTCTCCAGTCTACTATCAAAATTTCAATTGCTAAACGAATCAAAACTTACATTGGTTGTTGATAAAGAATTTCTTCAAGATATTTCGATTTGGAACCTCTCTAGCACGAACATCCTCCAGATTGCTGCTGAGTCTGTGTTGAACTAACTGTAGACTTCAAATTGACATCAACCATGTCCTCCTGTTTAGTGGAAGCGAGAGTCTCCATCCCTGGCAGGGATGCAGCAATCTTGCGGAACAGTGGCTGCCAGTGTTCAAAGATGTCTTCCAACTGAGAAATGAAGGTGCCGAGTCGAAAATTTAGCCTTAATGCTGTAAAATGTGATTACCTTGATGTTGAAGCCAGCTTTTGCACTGGTTTCAATAAACATCACTCCAAATTCACGAGATTTGGTTTCTCCGTCTTCTGTCGAGACTTGCCTGCAATCACCAAGTTAAAACAAACAAAATTGTTCATTAATAACTGAGGATACAAGTCATAACACATGGTATGGACTAATCCTAGGCCATAGTGATGAAATCAGTATGCGGTTTAATTCAACTCCATGAAGTCGGAAGCGAAGCCAAAATAGAAATGAATTTGTATGCAATTTTATATAATGGATAACCCTATGGCACACCCATATCCATTTTCTGACGAATTTCACCAGTGCCAGTATGCATGAACTTGATCGAGCAGAAGACAAGTATGACAATATAGCATTACATAATCAGATCAAGTATTAAATCATCATCGGGAGCTTTCCAGTATATCTAATAATTTGCATATTGACAGTAGCATCAGAGGAAGGAAGAATCATCATCCTACATAAATTGGATTTGGACCCTTTGTCCTACCTGTCAGCTTCATGATAATAAGAATACCCGTACATCAAAAAAAGTGCATTGGTGGTAACAATTTTAAATGCCAAAACCAGTAGAATAAAAATAGATGTTAATTAGTTTAATTAGCACCTAAACCAATGTACTGAGCAACTATTAGAATAAACTTCTTTACTTATAAGCAGCAACAAGCTACATATACATCTTTCCCAGTGCTAACTAAATCAGTCCATCTGACAAAATACCAATTTAAGAACTGAATGCACGCATTTCTCTTTAGCTCAGTGAAGAAATGCATTTAATTTTTTTTAAAGAAAAGGACTCTGCAGCGGATCAATATGAAAGTAGCTTCTTTACACAGCAACTTAATTATATTAAGCCACAAGCACATTCAAACAACTCAAACAAAAATGTATTGCTAATGGAACAAGATATAAATAGAGAATATTATTAAAAAGTAGAAAAGTAATAGAACTAAACTCCCAGCACTTATGACCTTTTCTCAACAAGATCCGTCTTATTTCCGACAAGAACTATGATTACATCGCCACCTCGTTCTGTACGCACTTCCTCGATCCACTTTGAAGTATTTAAGAACGATTGCCGATCTGTGAAGCAAAGGGGGCACATAAGTAGAACATTCTTCTAGATACTTTGAACTAATATGATCAACATGAACACCAGCTGAAGATAATTATTGGATTGGTAAAGTTGGGGAGCCTCTTATTCACATATCAATTTCTAATGCTTGTTAACTGTTATGTAAATCTACATTATCATTGAAATTCTGCTCGGATATGCTATTCTTAGTGGACTGATTCAGTCATAACAGAAATGATGCTTGATCCAATGCATAAAATTGATTACTCACCTAGGTTCCCACAAGGTTATGTCAACCACTTAATGATGTCCTGTCTCTTAAGTTTGCATGGAGCAACAAAGAATTGGTGCAATAAACCTTTGTTCTCTGTTTCGAAGTATATCTTTTTAAGATAAGAATCCATGAAAGTGTATGTGCTGTATGGAAGGAAGATGTGCATGAAAAGTCAAGGTCCACAAGAGGATATGCCAATCACTTGATAATATCTATCCATGAAAGTGTATGTGCTGTATGGAAGGAAGACGTGCATGAAAAGTCTAGGTCCACAAGAGGATATGCCAAGCACTTGATAATATCCCATTCATATGCATTGTCATGACAGACGATAAGCAAGCAGGATATATTTATGTGGTAAGCAAAACTAGAACATATGTAGCAATGTCCCAAAAGCAAAATACTGCAACTCTTGCTGTCGCTGAAGGTATAAAAAGATAGTGTTATTGATGAATGGTGCTACTAAATACACTGAGGTGGCTTAGATTGCCCAAAGACATGCTACATTTTTCTAAATTAACTTGATAAGAAGTCTTAAGGCCCCATAGTAGTGTTCAGAAGACTGACTGAATGGCCATTGTTAGCACTTTTGCCAGGAAGAAAAAATATTAATAGCATTGGATCCATGTTTCTCTGATGCATGTGTTGAATACTATCTAAATGGCTAAATTTAGCACTTTTGCCGGGAAGTAAAATAGTCAAGTTGCAACAGTGGCATGTGTTAAAAGATTCATCTAAGGTCTATAAAATGTTTTCAAGCTAGATTGAGAGAATTTCAACATTTAATCTGGATATGAGTCCATGGTCTATTCCTGGTCAGAATTTTGTCAGAACCTGGAAATATCAAACTTAGAATAAGAAAACCAGAACTTACTAGATACATCATAAGCAATAACTGCGACAGAAGAGTCCCTGATGTAGCTTGGGATAAGACTTCTAAATCTCTCCTGGCCAGCAGTATCCCTGCAAATTTGATTAGAAAAATAGTGTTAAATAAATCATCATACAGTTACTAAGAGTCTGAGATGGCCAATACATAGTTAAAGGTCTAATTAAACCCAGGGATCTAAAGTAATAGTCCCTGGACATTCAGTAATTAACATCAATGAACTAATATATCATATTAATTATGATCAAACAAATTCAAATTAAATTCTTGAATTGCACGCACGACAGCAATGGCATCTTAGTTTTCTTAAATATTGGTTATCACATGAAGCCATATGCTATGAGAACATCATGTAGAAAAATTGAAGGACCTGTATAAAGACATAAGCCACCATCTAGGGTTTACGAGCCTTGGAAAACCAGTTAAAGATTTGTTCAACGAGCACTAGAAATAAGCGACCTTCTCTTCCTTCAAACAAACTATGCTTGGTTAGTTCACACATGCATGTTAACAAGTCAACAAAATTTAGGCACACAAAAGAAAGCAACCTTCTAAGGAAGAAAATTTAGATGTGAAGGAATTGAAGGAACATGACGGGGAAAAGCCATCTGACCTTTAGAAAAATCATGCAAGTTTAGCAAATTATAGAAGTCAAAAATTTTTTCATATCAAGAAGTACATATTTAGCGTCAATTATAGGATCCCTTTGACATTCTTTTATCTATATTTCATTATTTTTTGGGGGCATGTGACATGTCCTTGTCATTGACAAGAATGAACCTAGTAACTTAGACTTGGTACATTTGGTTCTTAGGATGTTATCAAATATCAATTAAATTAATTATCACAAAAACAAAGAGAACAGAATTACCAAAGCTGCAGACGTACTGTACGGTCTTCAAGGTACATCGTCTTTGATAGAAAATCAATGCCGATAGTAGCCTGAAAACATATAATGTAATGCTTATTCAAATATACTAAAATTCGCACATGACTTAGTCAAGGAAAGAATGTAATGGAAGTAATGATATGCTTCTATCCAAAGTCAAGAGTCTTGTAAAATCATCACCTGACTATAATATGTCACTTTCATTTTCAAGCAAATATTTTGTTTTCTTTACTATGAAAATGTAAAAAACCAGATGTAAGCAAGTCAAATTACAATAAAATGACTTTCATAGGTCTTGAAAGCACATAAAACATAATACGGCTGGCATAGTCACTATACGAGCTAGATTATATAGCATCAGAGTTGGATTAAGAGCATCATAATGAAAAAAAATTAATCCGACTTTAAGAGAGTAACACGTGAATGCACCGGGCTGATATACTTTTGAAAACTTTCATCACTGAATAATCTTACAAACCCTGTCCCAACATTATGCAAATTTTCACTTATCGTCAGTCCACTGAATTTCTACTAAGTGTGGGCAGCAAATAGGAATGACAATCTTCAAAAACACTAACATTTGTTTCACATGCTTGCTGGTGAAAGACCTGTTTTAAGTGGGTGATCGCTCACTCATAGCATATAAGCCCCATACAATAAATTATATAGGTTTTATCTGAGAGTAAATTCAATCTTGCCAATATAACTTCTTTCTGAGAATATACTTTCCACTCGGAGCAACACATAGCATGTTCAGTCCCTTGATATAAAGATTGGTTCCTCTTTTTGAATAACAAGCACTGGAAGTAAAAACCTTCTTTTATGTCAGATCTGATTTCCTAATCGTGCATGAGCAATGACTTCTAAGAGAGTATCACCAATTTTATGCAGCAGAAGTAAAACATCTTGCTAATCAACAAGAACTTGGTAAGGGCCATAAACTGAAAAAGCAATTGCACTTTAAGCACGTGTTTGCAACACCTAAAATAGGAAATCTGACAATGGTATTTAGGGATTTTTGGCAAGCAGATAATGCAATGATTCAGAGAGCTAAATCAAGTATCAGATTCTGTAGAGATGACCTTAAAAATTAGGTTGCAACAAAGTTATATGGTCTAGATGAACAAAAATGGGAATTGTAAGAAGCACAATGTGTCAAAATGTCTGCTAATTTATAATATAAACAATATATGAAATTATATTTTATCTTTTAATATTTTACTAAATCTTCTATAAGGAACACAAAATCAACAGCCTGACACTATGTCTAATGTTGTAAAATTAGATCTTGCATGCTCAGTATCATAGGCATGACGCACCTATATCCAATACTTATTCAACCATTTCCGATTTATCAAGACAGCAACATATCCAGTTTACAATAATCATCTAAGAGTCTGAATCCGGCATCGTTAGCTCAACATAAAGAACACCTAATGATTGACTTCTGACGCCGATCAAATCAGGTTCTCCATCAAACACAATTGCCACCTAAAGGAAAATCGAATTTATATGCCCGACTCCCTCATATCAAAAGATCGTAAACCACAAGATCCAGCAGTCAGAGACAACATCATCCAGAAACTGGTCCAAAATTTGACCGAAATAACAGACCAAACACAAACCTATATCTAGAAACCATGGATCGAACCCAAAAATTAGGGGATGATTGATGTTTATGGACCTGATAGGTGGTATCGAATTTGTCGTACATGAACCGGGTGATGATGCTGGTCTTCCCCACCGATTGATCCCCCAAGAACACCAACTTGTATTTCGCCAGAGCCGATACCACCGCCATATCTTTTTTCCCTCCTTTGCCTCTCCTCTCCTCTCCTCTGTCTTCTCGTTCGGCAGATCTCAGATGGCGAAGAGACAAAAGAAAGGAGAACGAAGTCGTTTACTCGTCCGGGGTTCGGCTATTTATAAAGCACGAGAAGAGGAAGCCAAGACGACGAACCAGTAACTGCCAACTACGGAATTATATTATTCCGAAAGAACAGCAAACATCAGAACAGTTCATTTTAAGCTCGACAAGAGGTTTAGCTGATCAAATGCAAACGTGGCGCGTTCTGGTTGGATATATCTAAGGTTTCTGTCTTGTTTCGCCACCAACAATGTGGCGAGCCACACCGTTCGAGCCCCTTCTCCCCAATGCTACGTGCAAATCTCGTGAGGTTCCGACCGCGCCCGGTTCTGAAGTTGACCCGGTCCAAACCGGACGTTTGGATGTGTGGGTCGGCATGAATCCCAAATTGAGAGCGAGAAGAGGAAGAATAATTCTCAATGAATTAGACTGGAATATATTCGAACAAATTTGATATAAAAAATAAAAAAATATCAATAAATTTTCATATATTTCTTATCACACGTCATGTTAAAGTAGAGTTTGATTATCCGAGAGGGTTTAAAGTCGATCTTAATTTTGAGATGGATAAGTTTGACAAGAGATTTGAAATACTCGATCAGTACCCGAATATGAAAGATATAATTTACTAAGAGTGGAGACCTCCCTTGAGAATATACATAAAAAGTGTTTTATAGTATAGATTTTGGATCATTATGCTTGTAGATATATATTAAAAGTAAAATAATTTACGAGCATCTCTCATTTATGATGAAATTGTGCTAGGTTTAATGCATATAATGTGTGACAACTATAATACAGTTAATAATCATCATGATATGTCGACTATATAATACCTAAATATTAGTTATACAATGTTATTGGCCATATTATGTTAATTTGTTGATCACGTGATGTTGGAGCGTCGATAAATCGATACTAAGATATTAACTATGTGACGCTATGCGTATCAATAATGTTGAAATGTTGGTAGTGACGTTGAGAAATCGATTATTTACTTGGTGCTGAGATATTGATTATGTTATTATTTTTATATCTCACTAAATTAAGTATTAACTTTAGGTGCTAAATAGATAATTTTTTTTTTTATCAATTATAGGGTATAATTAGGATAAAAATGGTGAAATAAATATCAGCTAACTATGAATTAATTCAATCATGAAATTTAATATTTTTACATTTCTGATAATATTGCGGATGCTTTTACAGTATACGAGAGATGAGCCATTTACATAGTTTTGTTTGTCATTATGACGAGCTTATTCTTTTAATTATCAACCATTCCAAGCTTAATTAACCATATAAGATCACATATCTGTAGACCATAAGAAAGGAGCAGCCAATTAATCTATGGTGAGAGGATCACGTGGTAAGATAGTAGTGACCCACACGATCTGTATATCACAAATTATCGACCATCATCACAACAAATGTTTTCTTAACTTACACGTCATGCTTTGATAAGTCGGAAGGAACGCTTCGCATTAATTAGCATATCCTTCTTTATATGTCTCCCACTTACAAGATACTGAAGTGGACAGATCATGATTCGCATGTTAATGAGTCCAACAACTATTCATGTGACATTAAAGTATGTCAAGGACCTTATTATCTACATCATAGGCGGAGACGAATGACAAGCTGGTTGGTTGCTCGTTTAGTGTTTCGATCAGGAAAAGAAGACTCCGAAAAGAACAATTGGATCACTATACGTATGTCAACAGAGAATATATATAAATTATAGTATTTTTGAATAAGATTATATGGTATTTTTAACGCCTTCATAAAAATATTATGTTTGTCATAAAATTTAATTTTTAATATAATTAGGAACCAAAGTTAGTTAGTTTGTATTTGATATTAAGTCAATTATGCTATTAATGTTTATGCTTACGAAGATTAAAAAATATTATAATCCTGTCGAAAAAAATATTATAACTATATAATAAATAATACACGTGGCAACCATCCGAAGATAGATGCAACGGAAAATGGCTTCTTGACGCCGTTAACGGGCACCACCGAAATGTCTTTCCGCATAATTATTGACATGGGGTCGCGTAAATCTAACCCTTCACTTTATTGACGCCGTTAATGGACGTGGGATCCATGGCGTCAATAAAGTAATATAAGTGGGCGTTTAGGGGCATTCTCGTCGAATCGCGCCATTTAGTGAGTGCTCTTCTCTGTTGCGGTCCAACTCGGCGGCTTCTTTGTCGTTGCTTCGTTGAAGGTTCGCTTGCTCCTTTCGGCTTCAGGTTCCCGATCTGTAGAACCACCAGTATCGAAATTACTCCCTGTGAAGCGACACTTCCGATCTGGTTTGTGGATCCCCGAGAAACTGGTGGTAGAATCTTCTTTTCCGGGAAGATTCGTCGATTCGGTCCGGTTTATTGATTCCCGGGATAGACGGATCTGGTGTTGCTGCCGCTGCAGGGTCGGCTCTAGGGCTTCTGATTCTGATACTAGAAGCGCTAGGGTTTGGTGATCGAGTCTCGGATATTTGATTTTTTTTGTGGGTAATCGATGGCGGAGACCAGGCGGTTTTCACTGACCCCTCAACTGGGTGAGGATTTGGTTCTTCTTCTTCCTTCTTGTTTCCTATTATTCTTCTTTGATGACGTTGATAGTCTCTTTCGTCACATCCCTTGTCTCGTGTTGAGGTTATATATTTTTCCCATACTAATTATATATTCTATATGATTGTCATTGTTGTGTAATGTTTCTCTTTATGGGTGGATGATGCTGCTTGAAGTCCCTTTGGGAGTCTCATTCCAATTTGCCTTGTCCATTGAATTCTATCTGGAATTCCAAATATATATGTTGTTTGACATGGGAAACACTGTCACTCAAGAGGAAAGTCATTCATTTGTTTGTTTGGAGGAAAATACACTTTTTAGTTACATTTTCGGATGCAGCGGTTTAGTTGTTTGAGAGAATCCCCTCTCCAGTGGGGACAAGGTGAATTCTTTAAGTGGTGCAATTTTGTGAGAAAATTATTGTACAAAATATTAAGAATGTATGATTTTCTTTCATGTATTTGATTTCCTTTTCTCTATGGCAAGTAATATTTTCTGGTCGTTTCATTTGTATGTACAACTAATAATCCACACCACTGATGGTACTTTGGTAGTGATAAAATTTAATGAATCTCTGTTCTTTTGATTCATATTTAGTTTTGATCATATGTCTAAAGTCATTAACATAACTCTGCTTTCTTCTCACCATGTCAACCTTTAAATATATGTCCAGAGTCATAAGCTGAATAAAATACTGACTGATTCCGAATTACTTATGTCCACTTCTAGATGGTCGACGACAATTGTTTATCTTTTTTTTTTTTGCTGATACAATTATCTCCTTATGCATGCACAGATATTGAGCAGATACTTCTGGAAGCACAACATCGCTGGTTACGACCTGCTGAAATCTGTGAAATACTTCGGAACTATCAGAAATTTCGTATTGCACCAGAGCCACCGAATAAACCACCAAGTATGATCTTTTATTGCAAGTCAGGGTCTAATTTTTTTTTTCACTGGGTTAGTCACATTTGCTGATTGACATATAGTGTTTTGGTACAAACACCTAATAGTTTAGTTGTTTGAATTGTTCTCAAGTTGCTTATATGCCTATTTATGGTATTTATGTTTGGAAGAGCAACATATTCTTCATGTGTTTTGCCCCAGGTGGATCTCTTTTCCTCTTTGATCGTAAAGTATTGAGATACTTCAGGAAGGATGGCCATAACTGGAGAAAGAAAAAAGATGGAAAGACTGTGAAAGAAGCTCATGAGAGGCTAAAAGTAAGTTATATTGGATTGGCGTCTTCTATTTGTGTTACTTGATGAGTAAAACAATGCACACTTGTTGGTTATGCCTTCATGGTAATGTTCTGTTGTGGTATTTATGTATCCCCTGTTACAGTGGCTTGGATGTGGTGTTCCACTCATACTCATAGCACATGCATGATTTTTGGCACCTAACACCTTGGACATAAATCATAATTACTATCCAAGCCTTCCAGAGGCATGGATAGTGTTTTATAGAATTTGTTATAAATTATTATTAATCAGGATCATTTTCATGTATAGACACAGATGAAAGCACAATTTTTTACATGAATGGATATTTTACTTCTTCGAATGCAGATGACACGTTCAACTGTAGTGGAAAATAATTTATAAAATTTAACCATGTGAATTATGGAAAAGACATAAAATTATATATAATGAGCTTTGTAAACATTCTTAATTATAGAGCATTGGAAAACCAACTTGCAACTCATGCTTTCAGTGTAATTTTCTGGAATTTTTTTTTGACAGATCACAGGCAGCCATCACAGGTTCTTTATTTTATTTTTTTATATGTGCTATGCCTATGCTTTCTTGCCAAGATATAAAATAATGCCACCTGGCTGGAGGTTGTCTGTTCAATGTTGGATCAGTATCAAATTGGTTTGACTTGATATAGTGATCCATGTTGGGTGTTGGTGTTTTTGGCTAAATATCAAGATTTATTGATTAATATATCGTAAGACTTGAATATCGGACAATTTATGGTGCTCATGTCCAACATTGGTGCTTAGATGACTCCTGATGGCTGCAGATCTGGCCACAAGTCTTTTGAGAAGGACCTGCATGTGTACCTTTTCCTGTTCTCTTCCTTCTTTCCGTTTTTCTCTTTCACTGGCAGCATGAGACAATCTGCCTATGGAAGATCTAGCTCCTAGTTTGTGCTCATTTATGTGGTTATAGGGGAATCTACCTCTACAGCCTTCTCTGTCAGTGGCAGATACTGCCAGGCATGGCACTAGCATATTGACAATGATGAAGGCTGCCATCATCGTAATGATTCTTGAGAGCTCAAAACCTGAAAAAAGATATCATGATGTCATTTAGGTTCAGTTGGCCCATCCTTGTCAATCCTGCTTCAGTTTGGACATCAGGATTCCAAGCCACTTGTGCTTATATTTATCGGGTAGATCAATCTTTGCTCAGATCCGCTGATTTCTGAAAAAGTGTTTGTTTTCTTGTAATTATGTAACATGTGAGAACCCATTACT